CTCCCCCACCCCATCCTCAGGCCTCTGCTCTCCCCTCCCCCCCTTGAATCCTCATACGTATTCTACAATAATGGTCTTATACAGTATTGGTCTTTATGGGACTGAGTTAGTTCATTTAACATAATGCTGTCCAGTGCCTCCCAAGTTAGGTGGTAATTTACAAAGTCATTGCTCCTGTGTGCTATGTTGTATTCCACTGTGTGAATGAACCATGATTTCTCACTCCATTCCATTGTGGTTGGGCATTTGGGCTGTTTCCATTATCTTGTGATGGTGAATAAAGCTTCTGTGAACTTTGGTGTACAAGTTCTCATTTTCTCAGGTATATATATTCCAAGCAGTGGAATAGCTGGTTCATATGGAATTTCTATGTTCAGCTTTTTGAGGAAACAACAAACCTCCTTCTAGAGTAGTTGTACCATTTTACAATCCCACCAACAATGTATAAGAGTTCCTATTTTGCCACATCCTCTGCATAATTTAGTACTTTGTCCTCTTAAACTTTGCCACTGCTACTGGAGTGAGACGGTACCTCATTGTGGTTTTGATTTGCATCTTTCTTATCACCAGTGACTTTGAGCATTTCTTCATGTGTGTGTTGGCCCTGTGAGTATCTTCCTCTGTAAAAATTCTTACCATGTCTTTAACCCGTTTTGTGATTATGTTATCAGCCTTTTTCTTGGGGAGGCCCAGATATGTGACCCTTGTCTGAAATGGTATGGCCAAATCCCCAGCAGATTTTCTTTTTACTCTGTTGGAACAAGTTTTTGATGGGCACAGAGGTTTAATCTTTAGACGGTCCCATTCGTCAGTTTTATCCTCTCCTCTGGCTGTATTTGGCAGTCTTTGTATGCTATACTCTAGACCTTCTAAGCTTTACCCCGCTTTGTCTCTGATGAACTTTATGGTCCTGGGCAGCTTTTCATTTCTTGATGCTGAGATGTAATCTGTATTCAAGGCTATAGTCTTTGATCTGCTGCTAGTGCCTCATTTGTGAGAGGATTGTGCCGTCTGCATGTTGCAGGCTGTTGATGAGTCTTTTTCTTTCTTTTTTTTTTTTTT